ATAGATAGATAGATAGATAGATAGATAGATAGATAGATAGATAGATAAAATGAAAGAAAATAAAAGAAAAAATAGAAGATAGAAATAGAAGATAGTATCTAATGGAATATTTTATACCATTCTTTCAGATTGTCTTTTATCTTGGTGATCTTCACAGTTGTATTTGTTTTCTTTGTAATTTCTATTTTATAATCTTCTTCCTTCTATTTTTGGATTTATTTTGGTTTTTATACAAACTTGTTTGTTTTTTTGTTTGCTTGTTTGTTTTAATGGTGCTAGGGATTAAATCCAAGGCTTCATGTATACTGGCAAGTGTTCTACCACTGGGCTTCATCCCTACTCGTCAAATCTCTGTGGCTACATGGAGAAACCCTACCCTGTCTTCAAAACAAAACAACAACAAAAGGAAATTCAGAGACCTTGCTTCAAATGGAAGAGAGGAAGGAGTGAGGAAGGGAAAGAGAGAAGAAAAGAACCTAGCAAGATTCCAAGAAGCTGGGAAAGAAGATGTGTATATGCATTACACTCATTAGCAGCATCTAAAATCCATCTGAACCTGACAGGATTCAAAGGGTATTTATTCTAAGGGTATCGATCTGAGAACCCATATGATGAAAAACAGAAAGTGATGCAGATAGCTGGGGAGTCTCGGGTTAAATTGAACAGAAGATCTGGACAATATAAAGGACAGTAAAGCACATGGCAGTGTTAGAGCAGATGAGGGTGGGAATAGAAGAATATAAATAACATCAGTGCAGAAAGAGGGCTGCTGTTATGAACAGCCTCTGAAGGGCAGAGCACACGTCCTCAAACTCCTTCAAAATCCAGTGATAGTTTAACACACTGTTCAGTTCAGTAAACTGGTAGTCTGTTATCACCCAAAGCTTTTTCCTCTTGAGTATTATAGGCCAGGAAAGGCCAGAATTAATTGAGAAGGCCTAGGGGTGACTAGATAACCTAACCCTAGACTAAAGAATAAAAGAAAAGGTTTGTGGACAGCTGGAAAGATGGGTGAGTGGGTACAGTGCTTGCTGTTCATGGCAACATTCATCTGTAATCTCAGGACAAGGAGGCAGAGACAATGGAATCCTTGGGACTCATGGGCCAGCTTGTCTAGATCAACAAGAAATATGTCTTGAAAAGAAGGTTAAGAGAATTGAAGAAGACAACCAATGTCAACTTCTAGCCTCCATGTTTACACACATGAACACAAACAAACACGTGTACATACAAACATTGAAAGAACTGCACTGGTAGCACAGTCCTGGAATTTCACATGCTTGGGAAGCTAAAGAAGGAGAATTGCAAGTTCAAGGTCTGACTGGGTATGTTCAGCCGCAGCCTGGCAACTTAGTGAGACCCTATCTGGGAACATAAAATACAAAAGGGGGGGGGGGGATATAGTTCAGTGACCAAGGGCTTTCTTTGCTATTGGGCATATGGCCTTGGGTTCAATTCCCTGTGTCACAGAAGAGAAGGGAAAAAAAATTTCTACACTAGTTCAAAAACCAGATGTTAGCTTGGGGTACCTGAGGATTGCCAGTTTGAGGTCAGCCTGAGCTACAAAGTGAGACCCTGTCAAAAAAAAAAAAAAAAGAAAGAAAAAGAAGAAAAAAAGTTGAGGTTAGTTAAAGGAAGCAGGGAGTTTAAATAGGAGAATCTAGAGAGAGCTTGTCAGCTATGGAGATGCAGCTGCCTTTACAATTGTTGGAGCAATTTACAAGTGCCCAGCACTGAAGATGATCAGCACTCCGGGGCTGTCAATCTGCTTTGAGAATCTCTACTCAGATAACTGCCTCATGTACAAACATGTGATTTCAGGAAACTCAGAGGACACTCCACAGTCATCACTCCACTTCAGGCCGCAGGCTCAGCACAGGGACTCCACCACACATTCCTGCGTCACTTGGGCAAGGATACTACAACCTCAACTCTGGATTTGCGCCTACCTCTCTGTCAAAAGACTGGCTAAATGCTCATCTTTCTATCACTCAAACAACAGTTTTTGGAAGAACAGCCAGCCATTTCCTGAGGATGAACACAGAAGATCTGTGGCTGTTTTCTCAGCCCACGTCTTCTCACTCAGACGGTCTTAAAAAATCCAACTAGAACCTAGACATAACGACATACACCTGCAATCTCAGCACTTGAAAGGCTAAGGCAAGAAGATTACAGAAAGTACATAGTTAGCCTGGCTTACCGTGAGTTCCAGGCCAGCCTCAGCTATACAGAGCAAGACCCTGTCTCAACACCCCCTATATCCAACCTCCGAAAAGAAAACAACTAGAAATGCATATTCTCCCAGTAAAAACTCCATGGAAGAAAGGATACAGCAATCTCTATTTTCAATAGAGGTACTTACCATCCAGCAGGCCTTCCTCGTCATCCCTGTCATGCTCCTCCACTGCCACCTCCTCCTCCTCCTCCTCCTCTTCCGCATCCTCCAGCTCCACGTCCGGGTCCAGGTCTGGATCGCTCCCTGAGGCGGATTCGTCTGACATGGCTCCCAGAAGTCCTCAGTGGGCATTACCGACTCATGTCCACTGTAGGGTCCTAAGAGGAGGTCAAGGAGCATCAGAATCAACCAGGGTTTCACTTAGAAATACAAACCTTTCCAAGAAAAAGATACTGAAAGGTGAATCCCTGGAGCTTTATAAAGCAAAGCAAACCAAATCCAAATCTCAATCTTCTCTGTGAAAATGTTACCTTGATAAACATTCTGCTGAGTTTGCCCAGTTCAAGCATTTCAGGGGCCACTTTGACAAGAAGTAACAGCAACAAAATAAAAACTGGGCGTCTTAAAGTTCCCATTTGTTCATTCCTTCCTTTTATTCCTCCAGTTCCCTGAAAACCATCTCCCATTCCCATACCTGCCCATCCATACACAAACACTTATTTACACTCCCAGGCACTGTTCTAGGTACAGCAGGAAGAAAAGAACATAAGAAGTGTGAGGGCTGGTGCATGCCACGGGGAGCTGCTACCATACACTTGGTGTCAAGGAAGTCCTCACTAAGCAGACTAGAGGACACCTGAAGTGTGTGTTTCAGGCAGAGTGAGCATCAGAGGCAAAGGCCTGAATCAAGGGAATGAGGAACACTTATAAGAAATGGGTCCTGTGTGGAATAGGGCAGGATATGGCCATAGAACATCACACAGTAGGAGTTTCACGCTCCAATAAACTGAACCAAATATGGACTTACTGAGAAGTTGACTGTTTGCCACACTGTCACTCTGCCCAAGCTTGTAGGGAGCCTCATGTAAGGTATCAGTGGCCATGTTTGCTTTTAGGCTCTTCTCGCCTAGTTCCAACCACATCTTCCAAAAAGCTTTGCAAAGTTGAGATGCCCTCAACTTCCGGAATCACATTTCTCTTCTGAATTCTATTAGCCCTACTAAACCTACAACCCCACCCCTGAACAGTTCATAGTGGGTGCCTCTTGACCCCACAGTAAACCTCCAGGGCAGGCATATAAATAGAAATTATCTTTATACTGTGGGTATTCATTCATCTGTATTCCCTGCCTCACTTGCCAATCTGGTGTGCCACATATACTACATACCACAACTATCTCTTCCTTTCTTCTTCCCCCTCTCTTTATTTCATCATCCCTACCCAGTCCCCACAACTTTATTGTTAAATATAGGGGCATCTCTTTCCTCCTCTTTTTTAGTTTGGTGTGGAGAATCACAGTTGTTTGTTTTTAAGTCAGGGTGTCAACCGGCAATGTGGCCAAAGCTATCCTTGAACTCCAGGTCCTCATATCTTCACCTCTCAAGTCCAAGGATTATAGGTATAAACCACCACAACTGGCTTTAGAGATAATTTCTAACTAATAAGTGCCATTAAGTACCCAGATGCCTGTCATTCTAGGAAATGAGATTTAAAGCAATAGAGTAAAAGTCATAGTAACGAAGAATATGCTTCTACATACTCTCAGTTAATAATAGCTGCTTCACAACAACCTCAGTCCCCCCAAAAAAATGCTGGGCGTAGTGGTCCACACCTTTAATCCCAACACTCAGGCAAAGGCAGGTGTACCTCTGTGAGGTCTAGGACAACCAGAACTACATGAGATACTGACTAAATAACAAACAAAACAAAAACACCACCACAGCCTTTAAGCTCCTGAGAGAAGCAAATATTGTTTAAATATCTATCTACTACATATGATAATAAGGCATGAGATACCAGCCTAATCTACGTAAGTTCCAGACCAGCAAAGGTTACATGGCAGGATCCTATGTCATCACTCTCATTATCCTCCTCATCAAGAACAGCAGTATAATGTCTAACAAAACCCTGAGTTAGAAAGAGCATTTTAGAAGGAATCTCTTGTATCTATATGGAAACATTACCTGTCAATAAAAAGCTGATGGCCTATAACTTAGGCAGGAAATAGGAAGTGGGACATCCAGCAGACAGAAAGGATTCTGGGATAGAGCCAGCTGCACAGATTCAGCCAGCAAGATATGAGGAAGGGAGATGCATGGTACCTGAACACAGGTAACCAGCCACATGGCAGGATATAGATTAGTATAAATGGGTTATTTTAAATTATGAACTAGTCGGAAAAAAGCCAAGTTATATGGCCTAGGTATTTGTAAAAATATTTTGAGTCTCATGAGTCATTATTCCAGAAGCTTAGGGCTGGGAAGAAAACTACCCCCAACAGTGCATCTGAAGCTGCCTTTAATCCCAGCATTCGGGAGGCAGGGGCAGGAGTTTGAGGACAGTCTGGTCTATAGAGTTAGTTCCAGGACAGCCAGAGATATACAAAGAAACCTTGTCTTGAAACCCCACATACCAAAACAAACAAACAAACAAACACACACATAAATCCTAGGACCCCTGTCCATTACCATGCAGGATCACCATGCAGCACAGGTGGGGCAGAAGACACCCAGATGGCCCCAGAGCTACTAAGATGAGCAAGTAAGTAGTGGAGAGATGGGACAGAAAAGGAAGCAGAATAGTATCTGTACAATGAAGAGAAGTGGAACTAGAGAGAGAACAGCATGATATGAGCAGTCTGTGCTACCATCTGAGGCCTTGCTACTGCAGAGGAACATGTCTAGGTCCACGGCCCAACACTGTTGGGGTCTGGGCCAATGTTACTGGCCCATATTATCACCAAAGGCCATTCAGAAGTCCCTGGTCTGAGCTGCCACCTGGGCCATGCTAATGCCCATAGGCCGGTAAGAGTTGGCCCTGACCCCTTACCAGCTGTAGCACTGGGGTGAGCTCACCCTGCCTCTCACTGGTGCAGTGCTGAAGAGCTGGCCCCAATGGCATGAACATTAGGGAAGACTAACAGACTGATCAACTCAGCTACCACCCAGGTAGCTCCATCTACCCCATCTATGAACTAGGGGACATGTGAAGGCCCTGTAGAACCAAAGCTGCAGGATCTCCATGACACAGCGCAACAACAGGATGTGTAAGAGGAATCCCAGTAAGGATCCAGTATAGATAGTGTAGCAGAAGCCAAAGGCCTGAACCAAACCAATGCCACAGCTTCCAAGGTGAGATGTTTTCTTTTTAATTATTATTTTTTAATTTTTATTTGTTTCCTTTTGGCAGGGGAGGATGCAAGGATATGGAAGGATGAAGAGATGAGTGGAAATGGAGTACATGATGTGAAATTCACAAAGGACCAATAAAAAGTTTAAAAAAGCATATAAATACTAGTTATAAACACATGTACACATATATAAAATATAAACATAACCCTGGATTTAATAATTTACCAGGAAACATGAAAATGTTCAGTCTATAGCACTGAGTAATAGCCCATAAGCAAATCCACTAGTCCAAGATTTTATATAATCGAAAGACAAGACTTTAGTCACTACAGAGCACTCACAGCAATCGGTACGGTCTACCAGTCACCACTACGGGTCACTAAAGTTACCTCAAACCCTTTTCATACAGGATAATGACGCTGCTCTGATCCCTCCTGGTGTGTACTTCAAACTCCTACTGAGCATAAATAGTCTTTTGAGTGAACATCAGTCACTTAAAAACACACTAAGATGCAATCAAGGCAGCCACAAAGCTAAACTGACACACCTGAAATATCTTACTTGAAAAGAGAATAAGACTTTTGACAATTTGAAACTTAAAAGAAAATAAGAACAGTTAACACATTCAAGATTCCCAGTAGCACTGCCATGGTAGACAACTCTCTAAAGGCAATACAGTGGGGCAGGACCCAGGGGATTGGCACTACACTCAAGATATATTTACAAAATTCTGAGCTCCAGTAGCTACAGCTCTGAAGATAACCAGCTGCATGACTTAGGGAAGGTCAGTTCTCCTTTAGTTTCAACCACCCTTCTTATTCCAGATGGACCTAAGAGAGATGGACCTAGGTCAGTCTTCAAGATAATCTTCCTGATTCTAGAACAGGAGTTCTCAAAGGGTGATCCAGGAGCTTCTGAGCCCCCTCTGAGTCAACCGCAAAGTCAAATCATATACAGTTTACAAAGTCATTTAAAGTGCAAACCATACCAATGGACTTTTGCATAACACAATACAGAAAATGTCTTGACACATGTTCAAATTCCACACTACAGCTAACTTAAGAAATACTATTTAAGGAAAACGGGGCATGCCTTTAATCCCAGCACTTGGGAGGCAGAGACAGGAGGATATCTGAGTTCAATGCCAGCCTGGTCTACAGAGTTCCAAGACAGCCAGGACTACACAGAGAAACCCTGTCTCAAAAAAAAAAAAAAAACATGAACAAACAAACAAATAAAAAACAAAACAAAAAAAAACTACTTGTCAGAAATGTTCCAAAGTATCAAAGAATACACACAATCATCTGAAAAGTCTGTTTAAAGACTCCTCCCTCTCCAAGTTCGGTTCTGTAGTGCCTATACTTCAACAATGCAAAATGCCAACAATAAAGCATTTAGATACAGAAGGACTAAGAATTCAGCTGTCTCTGTTTAGCCAAACTCTTTCAAATGTGTAAAATAATCAAGCTCTTCTGGTTTTTGTTTGTTTGTTCTAGAAAAGTAATTTTCACTTAAAGTGTTATTTATGAGTTGGGAGCATTTTTTAATGAATTACAGCAGAAAACCCTGGAATACCACTAGGATAAACCAGTCAAGGATATATTATTTCATTCTCCACATAATCATAGCCACAGGGAAAAGCAGCAGAGCAAGAGACACGACAACAGGAGCTGAGAAGATATAACCCCAGACTCTGACAATTTCTCACACAGCCAGGTGTGGTGATGCACACCTTGAGCTCTAGAATTCTGGAGGCAGAGGCAGGTGGATTCAGGTCAGTCTGGTCTATACAACGAGTTCCAGGCCACCCGAGACTACATAATGAGACCCTATCTTAAAACAAAACAAAAACAAAAATATTTTCACATTATATACCAGATCAACCAGGCATAGATCTCACATTCATAGTCTCTGTTCTTGGCTGAAGTGGGAAGATGGCCAAGAATACAGTGAGTTCGAAGCCAGCCTAAGTGACATAAAAAGTCTTTGTCTCAAAGACTCTCCATGAGCCCCCGTAATTCCAGTTC